ACTATTCCTTCCTTGGACTGTTGTTATTGTTAGGTGCAGTCAAGTTGAGTACAACTCATAGTGACCCTACACACAACAGATTTGAACTCTTTCCTGTCCTGTGCCATCCTCACAATCTTCTTGGACTAGGCCTGTGATATTCTTCCAATCTTTTATGAAAGCAGATGTGAACATCCCTAAATAATACCTTAGAGATACTGCTACAAAATTATTTGAGACTCTGACTACAGTTCTGTGAACCTATGTATAGTAAGTCCTGCTATCACTTTGCTTGAGAAGAGAATTTTTCCAAAGTCATGTCTCTGGTTTTACTACTCATATCCATTGCGTACCAGGGAGGTGAAAGGACAGGCTTTCTGATAGTCTGTTGCTTGGGACAAACACTATTAATTTTCTTTTAAATGGGAGTAGTTGTTGTTTCATGAAAATCTTTCTCTGTACCATGTTCTATTTCACCTTTGACTTAAGGTTTTCTACACATTCTACTATGTCTTCAATTTCCTAGATCTTAATGAACATCTAAAATTATGCCTCTCACAGTCTTCTAAGCTGGGCTAGAAGCTGCTATTTTTACATCTTGTCTGTTACCCACAAAAAGTGAGGATGATGAAGGATTAATCATGTGTATGGCACCCCACCCCAGGATTGCAACATTCCATGATACAAATGAGGATGGGGACAAGGCAGGCAATAAGCAGAAGGGACACACAAAAGCAGAAACTTACACCCAACTATCTTCATCTCTGCATCAGAAAGAAATGGGCGAGAATGAGGGTACAGCACAGAGAAAAACAAGAACAATTAAGACAAACAAGAAAAGTGAAAGAAACATCACTGGCAGGTCAGTGGTGAAAGCATGCACTTTTTATCAGGGATCAAAGCAAAGGACAGAGTGTATTTCTGAGCACAAGGGCAAGAGTTCGAGGGTCCCCTAAGAGGCATGCCAAGTCTGCATAGCTATCTTCTAATGGGTAAGATCAGGGCAACCTCAGATAAGCAGCACTTGCCCCAGGTCTAACTCAGGGAGGGGCAAAGCATCTCTAAAGCCAAACACTCTCCAGGACATGGGTCTGAAAAACGTCTCTAACCAGCAGCATCTCCACCTCCCAAGAGTGTGTGAGAATTGCTCATTCTTGGGCCCTAAATTAATCCTACTCAATCAAAACTCTTAAGCTGGGCCCAGTAATGTGTTTTTTCTAAGAACTACAGGTGATTCTGGCACACATGAAAGTAAGAGAACCACAGCTCGAGGAAAGCTGTAATTGTTGCCACAACAGTACATTAAAATAAACACAGGGCCAACTGAGCTAACTTCTGACACAACTGAGATCATTCAGCTAACATGAACTTTTGCCCAAATCTCACACAGTCAATGACAACCTTAAATATTCAAGGATTAGAAAACAGTCTAAAACTCTGTACTACGCAGAGAACCCTCTCAGGTCCCGGCATTCCCAGTGACCACAGGAAACAGACTCTCCAGGAACGTTAAAAATTAGAGGAACATAAAAGATGGCAGCATATTCCTCCTGGCTCAGACTAGTGGGAAGAATGGTGAAGCTTCTTCTTGAGCAAGAGGTTTTAAATCACTTCTTGCAGTTAAGAGTCCTTTAACATATAGCTTTCATTAAAGTTTTATCATGGCTATCCTGACATGAAATTACAGGAACAATGTTACCTTCTATTTATTTATTTTTTTTTTAACTGGTACCCATGTCTTGGTTCAGTCTTCCCTGCCTATCTTTTCAGAGAAAAAAAAAGGATTACAAATACGCCTCAGTGTTACAAGTTTGTTCTACACTAAACTTTGAAAGGAAGGACTAAGTACCCACAAAAATAAGGTGACCAACCAACAAAGGCCATATGTGCTTAGTGTCAAAAAATGGCTTAAGTCCCCAAATTTGTCCATCTGTAATTCAGAAAGGCATTTCCCTCCCAGGCTTGCCACTCAGGAGTGAGAGCTTCCAGCAGTGCTGCTGCTGCCTCTTACCCATTACCAGGGTCGTTAGCACAACTCAGTGGCAGTGGAGACAGGGCCTCATTTTGGACACAGAGAAGAAATCTGAAGCATCCACAGAAAGCAATTTTATCCAATGGAAAATAAGGAAGGACCAGAAAGGCCTTTTTTAGATTTGGTGTGTTGGACACTTGTATGGACAGAGTGTCTGGACTCTGACTGCACCTATATGCTTTAACATGGATCCACTTGGGCCATCTAACAAAAACCTCCTTTCTAAATGAGTGTGTGGCCGTTTCTGCCAAATTCCGGGTAGTTTTAAAATATGGATGATCATTTATGGGTAATTCTAATTTTCTCAGATAGTCTAGTTTTTCAGAGTTCTGAAGAGTGTTGAGACACACAGAGTCTTAATATAATTTCTTTCTTGGTCCTTTCCTCATGTGTCCAGGTATCAGGATGATAAAGCTGCAACTTCTGAAAACCTGGTCATATCAGTACTGCAAGGGCTGAGGGGCAGCTGCAGCCCAGGTACAACATTCCCACAAGTGGAGGCTGGACATACCACCTGTAAGTAAAGCTGATTAAGACTCATCAAGGACTTACTGCACAGTCATTATTTCCAAAGATAAGGCAACCATAACATAAAATTCTTCCGCATACTTTTCCAGCTGTGCCAGTATGCCCTGCAGGGTCAGCTTTACCTCCCTGTTCAAAGACGGCAAACCTCTGGTAACACCTTGGGGTGGATTAAGGGGCTGTCAGTTGTTAATAGGCCACCATCCTGAGTGTGGTCATCTGTGCAAAAAGGTTCTTTCCTCACAGAAAAATGCATTTTCCCTATCAACTGAGAAAGGACTGACAAGGGAACATATACACAAAGGGCTGTCCGTGCATCAAAACAAATGGTGCATTACTGTACTCAGCACCTCAAAGGGAGACAATGAACCCTAAAAGACAATTCAGACAGCAACACACATGTAGACTCAACCTGGACGTCTCAGGTCTGCTTCACCGGATAAAACGCGTGATGACTCACTAGTCGGCCAGAAGAAGACACAATCCCCTTAACCCTTAGCTTAACCCTAGTCTGACCAACACCCATCACTCATTTCCATAATCTTGTGCGGTTTACCCACCAGTCCTTGAGAAACTATGGGTCTCATTCCTTGGATGTAGTTTAGACAAAATAACTCCTGAAATAAAATTTTTCATTAAGTGAAAATTGGAAGTGTGTTCCTTTATAAACTTCTGTTTAGTTGGTTTTATAGCATGCCTGCGGAAAAGCTATGGGAGAGAAAATTCCAAATCTTAGACAAAGGTCTTAGAAAAAAGCAGGCTTCAAGTATATCTTCTCCTAGAATACGTTACCCTTCATATAAACCTATCCGGGGGAGAAGAATGGGTAATATCCTCCTGTGCAATTAACTGCCTCTGCAAACCCACTGGAGGGTCAACGACGACTCAATGGTACACAACACCACCACCACCAACACATAAACCTAGATATCTAGTTTAAAAAGATCATCAGATCAATTCTGGAATCCACTCATTCTTCAAAGTGTCTCTAAGAAGCGAGAGACTACAATTTTCCTGCTTTAGGCCCCAAAAGGGCTGAAAAGGGTATTAGGACAGCATGGGAGAAGTCTGTAGGGGACATCATCTCGATAACAGTAATATGGGACCTTTCATAATCATGAAGTTTCAACATTTAAAACTCAACATGGAATTAACTGAGTGGTCCAGATTTCCCATCTAAAAGACCCTCCTGCATCTTTAAGAGGAGCTAAAGAATGGGCAACAGCATCTTGCTCTGCATTTACTGCCTGTAAAGAGTAAGTGAAGACAGAAAACAAAATTGGACATAATCCAGGAGACCAGAAGGCAGTTGGAATTCATCATATGATTCTTTTTTAAAGCTCAGGCCACACTCCCCTTGGAGTACATGCGGGCAAATACTGCCCAGAAGGAAGAATTCTAAGAGGTGATAACTGCAGCAGCCACATCATTTCAGATAAGCCTGGCTTGGTTCTTTTAAATGAAGGCAACTAAGCTTCGAGCAGAGCATTAAAACTCAACTGGAAAGATTTGCCTATCCCTGCACAAGATAGCCACATGATTGCCTGTTTCGGTCTCCCTCTCCCTGTTCACATCTTGACTGTTTACCAGAGAACCTGCCAGTCCCTGGGCCACGTCTCTACTCTGTACTCCCCCTGGCTCTTTGGTTCTTGTGGTCTCTTTGGATCCCCTTCTCCAGTTCCACCTTTGCCCATCTTCCTAGGACATACAGTTCTGACACCTGAGGATCAAACTACTTCCACGTTCTGCCCTAGTTATTCTTTTAATGACACCAAAGTGAGAGGAAGAAGACAACTTTGAAGAAACTAACCAGGCAGTTCTATCCAAACAACCTAACCCACTGCTACTGATTTGATTCTGACTTATATTGTCTATATTACAGAGCAGAATTGTCTGGGGGGCTTTCAAGGTTTTCATCTTTACAGAAGTAAATCACCAAATCTTTCTCTCCTGGAGTGACAGGTGGGTTCAAACAACTCACGTTCTGGTTAGCACCTACCTGAGTGCCTAACCACTGAACTACCAGGGCTCCTGACACATTAAAAATGATCTGCCATTCCTTAAGGAATTGGAACACATCAATACTGTGATACTGCAGATAAAGATTTTTAAAGTTCTTCTCCTTAAAGAACAGGATCTTGTGAGGCAATTTACTTCTAAGAAATGTGATGGGCAAGAAGGTTGTTCAAGGGTATCCCTCTGAAGAGTTTCATGTTAGTTCCTGCCTTACAGCCTCTAAGGTGACAACAAAGCCCCTCTGATGCAGCCCTTCAAGCTACACTAGTGAATGCGATGTGGGAAGTCTACAGGAGCCATAGGAGTCACTGCATACCGCAGTCCGCAATGTGACCTGGGTTGTGAAGGCTTTTAATGGCTTCAAGATACCTCTACAGTTTACTACTTTCTCAGAAGCACAATGGACTCCTAAGCCCCCAGTCCACCCACTTTAAGCAGTACCGCCTACCTGGCATGATGACATCAGGAAATCCCAATTTCCTTGTAATTGCCAATCCTCTACTAAATATCATGGGGTTTTCTCTTCGAATCTGTTCCATGTCTCCACGAAGAAGCTGCAGAGAAATGATAAGACCTGCAAAAAACATAAAGGAATTTCCTTATTGAGAATCAAACGTATACTCTGTTATGAAGTTCTAGAAAAGACAGGAGATGCACATTATTCTCTGGAGAGTTTGCATAATTCAGCAGTTTTCTTGAGAAAAGATTTAATGTGGAAAGCATAAAAAACATAGTTGAAAGCAGTTTCCATCAAGATTACCTCAATAACCCAGGGAACCAGTCTATGATACATAGGCTAAGATCTGAGGTATACTGACTAATACCACATCCAGCCTATGGCCTACCTGGTCTCTAGTGAACAAGGAGCGAGAAGGGTGACTATAAAAGTGTACCTTCAGGGAACCAGAGAAGCCTACAGAAACAACATAAAGGTATCCAAGAAATAATTGTGACTTAAGAAATAAGTGTGGACTAGAGTACATCACAAGTTGGAAATCAGCAAGCTAAGAGATACTGTATTTTTATGCTAGGGTTATGCAAAATTATAAGAAGCAAAACCCTGATTCACATTTACAGTGATTTATAAAGATAGCAATTGAGAATATATCTCATTCTCCCTTCAGCAAAACCATTACATTACACTGCCAGGAGGTACTGTGAGACTTTCAGCTCTTTTACTTCTTCCGGGGGGCTGTGCTCTGAATTTGGGAGAATATGTAATGTCTCAAGTGAGCTGGCTTCTAGATCATTACTTGTACCCTAAAAGTTTCACACGGAGCCTGCTTGGATCTCTTGACAGTATTACCACTATAGCCCTTGGAAAAAAGATTATAAAATGTAAAAAGTGAGGCCTAGATGAAATTAGGATATGCCAGACTGAGACTCTATGAGTGGGATTGGCTGTTAACAGGATGAAGAATTTAGATGGTGATCTCTGGGTCATCAGGAAACATTCTCAGTGATCTACAAACTTGGAAACTGAAAAAAATAAACACCTATAGAAATGATGGAAGATGGTATTGTGACACTGAGAGTAATGAGAAGTGTGCTGGCTGAAAGGCAGAAATTTGGAGTAAGAATACTCTGAGGATGGAGATGAGGAGAAAAAGGAAGGGATAAATCAGACAGAAGAGTCACAAAAGCTACAGCTAGCAGACACAAGTGTGCCAATACCTAGAGATTGGTGCTTTCACAGCTGGGTCGGGGAAGAACTACGGTTCTACTGCACCCTAGACAGAAACTCAGGACAACTGGACAGCTTTCACTAAACTCACGTTCCCTAAGAAATTTTAGAATGATACATGTGTCCCAAGTGCCATTAACATCTCAGTGCTCTGAAAGACATACCCTTGGTATTCCAATTATTAGCTGATCAATCTACAAGATTTTTACTGTTGTTGTTGTTGTGTACTGTAGAGTCAGAACCAACTCACAGTTGACCCTTTGGTGGGTTTTCAGAGGCAGTTAATCGCACAGGATGAGAATGTCCATCTTTTCTTGGAGCAGCTGGTGGCCTCAAACAGTGTGCCTTCAGAATTAGAGTGCAGCTTCTTGCCACTGGGCCACCAGAGCTCACTCTTAAATAATCTTTCACAGCCTGACTACAGTTTTTGGATTCCGTTTGTGAATCTGAAAGGCTTGGCATCAGACTCTCAAACCACAATGAATTCTGCAGAGAAGAGGCTCTTAGGCTCTTCCTTCCAGATCTACCTCATTCACCTGTACATACTTATCAAATTCTCATCCTCTAAATGAGTAAGAATCCACTAATCTAGGAGACAAGCTATAGATGTAGAGGCAGTACCTGTAAAGTAAAAGGCTCATATTCTCCAGAATTTAAGGATGTGATAGTTCAAGGGTACATAGAGAAAAAAAAACACACACACAACCCAAAACAACAAAACCACAAGAACCCACATCACTTATCATTCTACTTTGGCCAGAATTTATTTAAGGACTCGCTAATTTGTATTATCTCTTCATTTTGAGAACAGTCAAACTGGCCTCAAGTAGCAAAGTAGAATTTCTGAGGAAAGACTAGAGGTGTTGAGAAGAGTCATGGCTAGCTTCCAAGCTACCAAAAAAGATACCGAGCAGCTGCTCACCTTCTTGAATCAGGACAAAGAGAAAACTCAAACTCATTGCTACTGAGTTGGAACCAACTCATAGCTGAGCCTCCAGTACGTTTTCAGAGGCTGTAAATCACATGGAATGAGCTCTGATGACCTAGCAGGTGGGGAGTTGTGTTTCCAACCCAAAGGCTGACAGTTTGAATCCACAGGCTGTTTTGCCAGAGAATGATGGGCAATCTTCTGTGTGATTTACAGCCTTTGAAAACCTACTGGGGGGGAATGTGTGAACTATGAATCTGTTCCAACTTGCAGCAATGAATAACAAATCACATGGAAGGAGAGGGCCCATTCTTTTCCTTTGTAGCCATTGGTGGATTCAAACCACCAGAAAGGCACTACCTTTGGGGGTTAGCAGTGCAACTCCCTACCCGCTAGGGCACTAGAGGACTAAGGCTTCAGTTTATGAAAAAGATCAAGTGAACAGGCACATGAATAATGAAACTACCAAATATTCCATTCCCTTTTATAGAGATTAGGACCCTTCAACTTACAACTCTCCTTCCAGGTCCTGAAACCATAGGTGATTGAGAAACAGGACAAATAATGCTAAGGCATGTTCCTCAGGGGAGGAGAGAGAACATTAATTGTAAAAAAAATCCATCACAGTCCATGCAGCGTGAAGTCAGTTCTTCAGTAACCCTGGGTGTTCTTTATACCCATCATCTCAATGGAGCACTCAAGCTGAAGAACTTAAAAAGAAACTTGTCCCAATAGAGAAAAAGAAAACACGCAACAATTCCTCCTAAAAGCATTACTCTTTAGAGACTCCCTATTTATACTGTTACTCAAATCCAACTTTTTAAACAAAGTCCATGAACATTAAAACAAAGAGATATATGAAAAAGGTTATGCAATTTTGTCCCTGTCAGGAGAAAAATGGTTCCATGCAAATCAGACTGTTATCTGTTAGTGAATAGAAAGGTTCACAGGCTTTTAAAGTGTGCTTCCAATTTAATCAAGCAATTCATTTTTTAATTTAGAAGGCACAACATTTCTAATGTGTAGATCTGCACTGGTATTTAGATAGAAATGATTTAAACAGACCTTTAAAAGAGAAGGTGGGTAAAGAAAAAGTAGAAGCTGAGATAAGATAAAAGCTGCTTTGTAATAAAGATTTTCTATTTTTGTTTCAGAATGACTTATCCTGGCCATCCTAAATGAGGCTGATTCTCATTAGTGTCAGGCTGTCTTGGTGATGCTAACCACACTGAACAGAAAGAGAATGAGAAGTGAACCAAAATGTGCCTCCCCCCTTCTTCTGCATGTATAATCTTTGTTCAAGACATACTTCACAGGGGGGCAAATCCTGCAAAACTTCTGCTTACTCTGGATTTAAACTGGAACTCAGTTTACCTAACACAGGACATGATATGCAACAAAAGGAAAAAACAAGAAATTGTATTTTGGTCAGTGGTTATCAGTCTGGGTCTCAAATGATCATGTTGTTGTGTACAGTCGAGTCAGAACTGACCCATAGCTGACCCTCTGGTGGGTTTTCAGAGGCAGTTAATTAAATAGGAGGAGATGGCCCATCCTTCTCCTGCATGGCAGCTGGTGGAACTGAACCTAGTGCCTTCAGGATTGCAGTGCAGCTTCTTACCACAAGGGCACCAGAGTAAATAAAAGTAGAAAGTGTCTGGCAGGAGAACAAACATCTGTAGGGAACTGAGCTTTACATCTGGCAGCAGATCAGCATTAACTCATTAAGATACTGTATGATCAGCAACTGCAAAAGCACCCAAAGTTCTCTAGCCAAAGAAGTACGTCACCGTGACTGGCGCTGGGGGCGGAGTACTTGGCACTCGATTTCCGGATGATGTTCTCATGGATCTGGGACCATTCACTCTCATTGTTGCACCTGTAACAGAAGGCAAGGTGTTACGGCTCTCAGGGCTTTAAAACATCCATCTGACTTTCCAACTGGAACACCCAAGTAAGAGGAGGGAAGAATTCTTCACTTTCCTAAAGAAATGATTTGGTATTTTCCTAAATTAAGAAAATTTTATTTCCACTTTAGGCACAGAGGATCTTCATAATTGAGAAAAGGTAGAAGCTCTAACATGTAGCTCTAGAAATGTTTTTAAAGTGGTACAATATCACCTTCACTGACAAGTTCATTATATTCTAACCTCCCTCACTGACATGCATGCACGCAACAGGTCTCAGGGGAAAGTTCCAGGGAGAGGAAAAACAGACGCTCACAACAAACACTAGTGTTTAGAAAGTACCAGGCTTTGCAAGGGTTTTATACTGTCACAGAACTGTTATTATACAGGCAGCCCCTGTACAATAAATATTTAGGAATAAAGTCAGTTCCTAAATCTATTTTTAAGTCAAATTTAGACAAAAGATATACATTGTTGCTGTGTACCATAGAGTCAGAACCAACTCATAGGTAAACTTTTATTAGTTTTCTGAGGCAGGTAATTGCAGGAGAGGAGATTGCCCATCCTTCTCCCTTGGAGCAGTTGGTCGCCTCAAACTGCATGCCTTTGGGATTGCAGCAGTTTCTTGGTAGTGGTTATTATTTAAAATCTATTAATCAAATATTTGCCATAGTATATATTGTACTTTCTATGAAAAAGTAAAAAAGTAATTATTCTTGAAAAACAAAAACTTCCTTACAGACTAATACACTTATAATAATGTTTTGATACACACTGCAAAGTAGCCCGTTTGTCATTACTACCATCGTATGTATCTCAAATGCTAATAGGCACAGCTACAGGCTGTACATAAACCAGATTTTTTTTAAAAAACAGACCCAAAATGTTAAGATTTTATTTACAAAGCTTCTTTGTTGTACAGAAAGTAAAAATGCTGTTACAATCTCAGAGTAACTGGTAGCCACGAGTGGTTGAGACTCACCGATCACAGCTACACACGCTACAGCAAGTCTTACACAGAAAACCTAACAACGCTTACAATTTTGTTGGGGCAAAGTCCCCACACTTGGTGGTGGAGTTCCAAGAGGGACTAAACAGAAAGGTGGAATGTCACAGGAACTATTCTTTGGCTCTTTGGGTGGTATAAACCAGATATTTTTACGTTGGGACTGCTTGCGCGGAAAGTCTTGCTAAACTTGGGTAAAGTGGAAACTATTTGCTTTGTGACTATCTTATCTTGACTAGACCAAGGTAATAGTAATTTCATGATAATAGTAGGTTTGGTATACTTCAAAGTTTCTGCATTTAAGGGGACTTAACAGAGAACGCTGGAGGCCCGAACATACAAACTAAGTTCCTTTCTTCAAATATTGCCTAAGACCATTATTATAAAAATAGAAGGATAACTAGCAAGACTAGAGACCAGAATGCCATGACTCAGACACAAACTGAGGTTGCTATGGCCACAATGTAGAGTACTAACCATTGTATGATCACATCAATAAGTAAGATGTGTGCAAAAGTTCAAAGGGGAAAGATGAGGGGGCGGGGAGCTGAGGGTGAGGAGGGGGAGAAATCACAGGGTCACCAGTCTGGTGAGTGTAAAGAAGGGGGTGAAGGAATTAGGAGAGATCAAGCAGGGACCTGAAAAGATGGGGTAATCATGGGCATAGATCAACAGTAATTAATTTTAAAAAATACAAACACAATGTGAATGAAGGAATGTGTGAAACACAATGTATATGAATGAAACAGCATACAAATTCTGTATGCATACCATTGTAAAATAAAAATAACTTTTAAAAAAGAAACAAAGAACAAACAAAAACAACAAAAACGAATAAGCTCCTTTCTTTTTTTTTATAAAAAAATTCCTAGCAAATATACTGCACAGAGAGCGGTACAAGAACCCAAAACGACAACATACAAAGGTACAGATGGTCAATAAGCTCCTTTCTTAAATACTCTTTGAGGCTAGGGGTAAAAAAGAAATAGAGAAATAACATCGTGCTTCAATGGTTGGTCTCCGCATCTCTCCATCTGCAGTGCAACTGGTTAGCCTGTTCAGCTATTAAGAGAAAGATCGGTGGTTTGAGCCCACCCAGGCATGTGATTCTCATTGTGATGCTCTGGCCCACAGGGAAAGGTGCTGTTAACCTAAAAGTGACACCTCTTGGCTAGTTCATGTCCACCAGCTATGCCAAGGGAGAAGATGAGCAACCTGTTCCTGTGTGATTTAAAGCCTTGGAAAACCTCCTGGAGGGTCAGCTATGAATCATGGCAATGACTATGACTTTTTTTTTTACATCTGAAGAGCAAATCCAAGACAGCTGCAAACAATCAGTGCTGTGCAGTGAAGTACTGTTGTCTTTTTAAATATTTAAAAAAATTCTCCATCTTTATTTTTTTAATTCTAATTTGAAAGTTTACAAAGAAATTGGCTTTTCATTTGCTTTATATAGATCTATCTCTACTTCCCCACTTTATTCCATAATGCATGTCCTGTTCCAGATTGTTGGTTGTATTACTCATAATACCATAATGCTCTTTTCAAATATTGTTGTCCTTTTGACGAGAGCCTTTGTGACTCCCACACAATGATTGCTGAGATTATATAAATAAGGTGTCTCTGGCACACTAAGAATGGCCATCAATAACGTGAATAAAACAAAGAAAAAATAAAACTCTTTATTATCAAACTGGAACCAAACTGCATGGAAGAAGACTGATCATTTTCTCCCGAGGAGCTGGGCGTAGACTTGGATTGCCAGAGTCTACCTTTTGCTTTAACAGTGCAACTTCCTACAGACTGTGCCACCAGGACCCTCTTAACGCAAATGAGGTGTGTGGAATTCTCATGGGTGTTGTTACCATGCAAATAAGATATATGGAACTACAGCAAGGAGATTTCTCAAGGTGAAGGAATGGAAGATTTATTTTTCAACAATGAAATGTTCAATTGGTAAAATATTAAATTATGCCTGAAATATAAAAATAAAATGGAAAACTAAATAGTCATTGTACCAAAAAGAATTGGTAGATATTCAACTATTTTACAAGTTAGGACATGATCAAGACTCAATGGTAGGGAGCTCTAGTGGCACAGTGGCAAGAAGCTGCACTGCAATCCCAGAGCTATGAGGTTTGAATCCACTAGATGCTCTCTGCTGGAGAAGGAGGGGCAATCTTCTCCTGTATCAATTGGATCTGATTCGACAGTATACGCACTCACATACAATAATAAAAATTAAAAAAAGAATTAAAAAAAGACTCAATGGTATGAAAAGTGCCAATGAAATGAAATGGTGGGTGCACTGAATTGAAAAGTGGCACTGAAAGTATTGGTAAGAAACAGGTTCCAGGTATTGATGCAATTCCAGTTGAGATGTTTCCACAAACAGGTGTAACAAATGGAAGTGCTTACTTGTCTTTATCAAGCATTTTGCAAGAGAGTGACTCAACTGAGTCATGAGAAGACATCCATGTCATGTTTATACCCCTTCCAAAGAAAGGTGATGCAAAAGAATGCCAAAATGATCAAACAATATCATACACAACAAAAACTTTGCTGAAGATAGTGGTTACAGCAGTACAACAATAGGGAACCATCAGAAATTCAAGCCAGATTCAGAAGGATGTCATTGTTGATATCGGATAGATGTTGGCTGAAAAAGAACACTACAGCGACATTTACCTGTAGGCATTCAACTGTGTGAATAAAAACAAATTACTAACAACACTGTGAAGTATAAGAATTCAAGAACATCCAGTCCATGGTTGTCTCAATTACTTGTTATGTTTTAGAGAGTTGGACAATGACTAAGGATGGCAGAAGAAGAATAGATGCTTTTGAATTGTGGTGCTAGAGAAGAGTCTTGAACATACCATGAACTGCCAAGAAAACAAAAAGGACTAACTTGGAGAGGGTAAAACCAAGGCTCTCCTTGGAGGCTAGGATTCTGAAGCTCTGCCTCACTTACTTTGGGCACATGGCCAGGAGAGGTTGGTCCTTGGAAAAAGAGGTCGGTCCGTGGACGGACAGAGCAGGAGAAGATACCCCGGATGAGATGGACTGATAACAGTAATTGGAGCAGTGGGGGTTGGTGTGTCAGAGTTAATGAGACTGGCTCAGGACAGAGAAGGGTTCAGAGCCGCTGTATATAGGGTCACTATACATCACGGGCGACTCAATGGCACATAACAACAATACCATATTATGACACATTTGGAAGCAGGAGTGGCATTCACTTCCTAAATAACATGCCTCCGAATCTCTATGAATTTTGATAAATGTTGATGGTTATAGAGGGGCTTCAGATCTTTTGTTCATGGGGCGTTATGAGTTGTGTTTGACTTGAAGGCAATCAACAACAACAACAAACTGTACCTGTGTGGAAGTTGTACATAAAATGAGGCAGTTGTTTGCACGTAACAAGAGAATACTGTAGTTTAAAATTAGGAAAGGTGTGCATCAGGTGTGTCCTTTCAATGTGCTCATTCAATTTATATGCTGAGTAAGTACTCTAAGATGCTGGACAATATGAAAAACACGACATCAAGATTGGAGGAGGACTCACTGACAGCCTGCAATATGCAGATGACACAACCTTAGCGGCTGAAAATGAAGAACACTTACTGATGAAGAACAAAGACTACTGCTTTCTGTGTAGATTACAACCCAACATAAAGAAAAGAAAAATCCTTACCACTGGATCAATAGACAACATCATATCATCAATGGAGAAAATACTGAAGTTGTCATGGATTTCATTCTACTTAACTCAACAGTCAAGAAATCAAATATCACATTGCACTGAGCATTATCTGCTGCAAAAGATCTTACAAAGCAGAAACGTCACTTTAAGGACTAAGGTGTGCTTGACCCAAGTTGGGGTATCTTCAATTGGTTCTTATGCATGCAAAAGCAGGATAATGAATAAGGAAGATTGACGAATGGATAACTTTTAACTAT